GCTTAATGGGCACTAGAACTCACGAAATACAGACTCTTCCAACAATAAAGATGTCTAAAGAAGAGCAAATTTTAACAAGTTACTCATAGCTAGGGTATTGATAAGGTCTCTCTGTCTCTCTGTCTCTCTCTCTCTCTCTCTCTCTCTCTCAAGTAGGTTCTCCACCACAAACTCAGGTTTTCCTGATTTCAGATTCTTCTTCAGTCGGACGTCCTCTATGTGCTCGCTAACTCTCTCTCTCTCTCTCTCTCTGACCACTTATTTTCCTAAAACTTTTAAGAAAATATACCTGTTGATGTTGGATGAAACCAGGTAACAGGCACAGAAAAAAAATTATAGGGACGAGGGGGTGAAAGACAGAAATAGGTATGCACAAAAAGTGCAAACATATATGCCTCTTCCACAAAAGGAAAAATTAAGAAACATATATATATATTAGTTATGCAAACATACAGAAGCACTACTTCTTCTGAATGCAAGATAAAAATATTAAATTTTCACTGAAATATCACACAATATGCTTTGAAAAAGAACCATGAAAAAGAGAGGAGAAATCTTTAATACAATGAAAACCTGTAAGCTAACCTGCAGTCGATCTTACAGTCTTCTATTAGGTTATTCAGAAGAATAACCTAAAATTGTGAAACTGTTGAAACACGTTTTGTGTTTTCAAAACTGTTAAAACACCTTTTGTAAGAAGAAACACTTCTGCAAGTTGCTCTGTAATCAGCAGCTCTAAATCAAGAGACACTCCAATATATCCTCTTTAATTCAAATGTTTGGTGTGCAGACAAATAACTGTACCTGTATGAGACCGTTTATGAAGCTCCAAATTGCTTGGATGCTTGAAAGCCTTCCCACATAATTCACAAGCATATTGCCTCTGCGCCTGGAGAGTCTGAGATTGTCCTTCTTGTTCCAAAGGGCCTTGAGATCTTTCCATTTCAACAGGTTGTTCAAAAGTCTCAGAATTACCTAGATCTTCAGTTTCTTTTTCTTCAGTAACCGTGGCATTTGTCATGCTTATGGTATTTTCATTTACAGATTCAATTACTCTTGTTATTCCACTGTCATCTCTTTTCGGCTCAGGTGGCTGCTCTGCAGACTTCTGAGATCGTAGAAAATTTAGCTTTTTGAGGTGGATTGCTTTTTTCAGGCGCATCTGCTTGGTGGGCTCTAAGAACGTGCTTTCTGAGCCTTGGTCTGGAGCAGCTTCATTCAAGGACTGAGCCAGAAAGTTTGAAGGTAAATGATCAGAGGTTTCCAGAATACATTCAGGGTGAGTGACGGTACAAGAATTATTCTCTGCTGTGCTTATTTCTGTGGGTGTGTTGTAAGAAAAGGATTGTTCTGCTATTCTCTCATGATTAGAGCAAGCATTTTGCTTGTAGAACTGTTTACTGTAAAAGTTGCGTAGTTTGTAATAATAATTTGGCTGTTTAAAAGGAAGTTCTGTGCAAGTGCCATCTAAGGAGTCGTGTGGCTGTTTCTGTGCATCACCTGAGGGTGCAGGAAGATTTACAGCCTGGGATCCATGGGATTGGTGGTTAATCAAGGCCTTATTGGCTTGTGTGTCTGATGAACACTCGTGCAGTAGGTTTGTTCCATAACTGTCACTGGCACAGCTGGAATCTGTAGTCAAAGTACTTTGCAGAGAAAATACACTATTACAAGGCATGCTGGCTGGCTGCTCCACGGCTGTAGAAGATTTTAGAAAGGTGTGGCAAATGTTTAGCACATTTTGCACTTGGAGACACTGCGCAATATCTAACACAGCTTGTACATTGTCCTGGCTAAGATCCAGGTGAGACGTGTACATGAAGTCCAAGATTTGGCCTATCCCACCTACATTTTTAATGTCCAAGTGAAAGACATCATTCTTCTGGCCTGAAGAATTCTGAAAAAGGGTCCTGATGAAATAAAGCAGAGTATTTTATATTATTTTATGTTATTTGACATAAAATAGTACTTCTTCATTTGCATAACCAGTCCTAGACTGAGCGGCTTGGCACCCTGCTGTTGTCAGAAACTCCTTCATCAAAATCCCAAAACAGTCTATAATGTGGTACTCCCACAAAAAAAAAAGAATATATAAATGGGGTCAGGCTACTCCTATGTGGCTATCTTCCTACAGAGAAAGGGGAAAAAAAAAACCCAAACCCTTAACTTGATTCTTCTTGGGTAATTCTCCAATTAGATTTTCTTTAATGGTGAACACAATTTCAATGAGCTGCAAGTCTTAAGCAAACAGGAGCCTATGCTTAAGTTTCAAAAAGGTAGGGTTTCAGAGGTATCCCTCTACTTAACTTGTCCTATCCCCATCCTGCAAATCTGAAGCCACTGCACAGGTTCAAATTCTTCCATAAATCCTACTTATACTATCTAGATTAAAATCAAAATTACAGTAAGCATACACAAGTTGAAAGTCTACATGCTCCCAATGCTCCAGAGAACTATAATACTAGCTGAATGTATAATTTTCCCCTACTATTCTGAAAATTCAGTCAAGTTCTTGAAGCATAAATCCCTTTCATCTTCAAGATTACCACACTAAGAGAAAAATTTTAAACCATGTTTTGTTTCCTTTTGCCCCCTGTAGTAATATAAAAGTCTTTTTCTTCCATTAGAATTGGCAGCCAAGCTTTAGAGATGCTATAAAAGCAAGGCCTAAAAAACTTCAGGATCTACCAGTTTACTCCCAACTAAGGAGAAAGAAACCAGTGCCACTGTGTAATGGGCCACCTAACACAGACACAGTCTCTGTGAGAATTTGCTCTAAGCAGAGACTAGGTAATTACACCTACATTCAATTTCAGTTTTGGCTGCTATTAAACAGAAGTGGATCATTTGAATTGTTCCACCCATTATAAACCTCACGTGACTCTGTTCACATAGTAACATAGCTCCTTACTTCAAACTGTCATGTTTTTAGACTGAAATATTGGCTGCAGGTCCATGTTAGAATCCATTACACAAGGCACTGCAAACAAGTAATAAAAAAGACAGTTCCAAAGCCTAACCACCCAGCAGTTAACTAGATATGTCAAGAAGATAAATTAGGATGATCTCAGTCTTCAAATTAGGCAAAATACCAGATACAGATATTTTCTCTGGCAAAGCAATTTATTGTTTGCCTTCGAACTCTAATAGTTACTGTAGTCCGTAAATAGCATAAAAAATAAACTTCTTGGAGACAAACTCAAATGATGGCACTCTGTTCATTAGTAGAAAACATTTCTACTACATACCTGAAATATTGACTGAAAGCAGCTAATACGTTTTTGTGTGCTTTAAAGCAGACCCCTTTTACCACCAACATGCAGTCACAGAGAAGACCCTGAATACGCTGCTCGTGTAGCTGCTGGAGGAGATGACAACTATGGCCTGCGACAGTGTCCATGCTAGGAAATCACACAAATTACCTACAAGGAAATAAAACACTCAGATGAATCTTTGATACTGAATTACAAAATAAATGTAGAATACGAAGAATGTTTTTACGATTTTCTTTTGCTCCCAATGGAAAGAGACTTCAGTTTAGAGCCGAATCTAAATATTTATCTCTTTTAAAGATGAATCATAGGACTGCTGACTACTATGCACTGAGCAAAAGTATACAAAGAGAGGAAATATTGTTTTTAATGAAATTTGGCCTAACAGAGTGAGCTTCTGCAAAAAATATTTGTTAATGGAGTTGCAAATAAACCAAACTCTGTAACCACGCACACACAAGCAAAGCAATTTAGACAACCCTGGCAAGATTTCCATTCTCAGGCAAACACACACCAGTCCTACCAGATCTACAGTACAGAAACATTTGCGGAGAGAAACATCAGTTCATCCACCTGAACAGTAATCAATAAACTTTGAAGCATCAGTTTTATACCAATCTCATCAGTATCAATATCAATCTCTTTGCTGTCATAGCCACACACATTTCTCACATGGATCTTATTCAGTAGAAAATATATTTTATTTTCTGATTTAACAAGACAAAGTTTCTTTTACAAGCCATTTATCAAAAAGGTGAGAAAAGAAGCAACTAACAACTTACTCCCACGAAACCCACTTTACTCTCTACACGCCTCTACCTCACAGCAGATGATGATGACGCTTGCAAACATGAAAGGAAGACTCCATTATTTTGAGCAATCAGCAGTTATGTTTTCTGTGTTAATCACACAGGAGGACTAACACAGGCAAAGAACGGGAAGAAAGTGTCCCCCATTCCCAATTCTGACCAACATTAACAGCTCCCTATTTTAATTCTGTCTGCACAACTACAATTTGTTCTCTCCTATTCCATTACTATCACATCACACTGTACTTCTTCCTAGTGCACGTTTATTCCTGATGTACCTTTCTGACTGCTTTTAAAATGCCTGACACCTGCTTGCTGGAAGACTCCTTTATTCGCCCGAGTCCCTCCTTGCGGAGGCCTCTGGAGGGCCTCAGAGCCCCCCGGGAGGCCCCAGCTCAGGGTGAAGCGCCGACCCCCGCGGCCAGCGGCACCCCGGGGCCCGCAGCCCAGCGCGGGCGCGGCCGGCCCCGCGGCCCGGGCCGGAGACGGGGGGACCCGCAGAGCCGCCAGCGGCTCCGAGAGGCGGCGGAAGGGAGCCGGGGCAGGGAGCCGGCCTGGCCCCGTCCCATCCCGCCTCCCCTCGGTCCGGTTCGGTTCGGTTCGGTCCGGTTCGGTTCGGTTCGGCCCTGTTTAGCGCTTACCGGCTCCGGCCGCCTCCCTGCTCCATCCCCGCCCGCTGCCGGTGTCGGCGCCAGCCCCACCGTCCGCTCGGCGCGGCGCTTCCGCCGCCCCCTCCTTCCGCTTCCGGGCGCGGCGCGGGCGCAGAGCGCGCGCGGCCGTTGGAGGCGGCCGTTGGAGGCGGCGGTTGCGGCGCGCGTGAGAAGCGGGGCCGGGCCGCGGGGGGCCCGGGCCGGGCGGCGCGGGGCAGATTTGGGAGCCCGGGACGGGTCCGACAGCGCGTCTGAAGCGAGTGCCTCTCGCGTGTGTTTCCAGGGCTGGGAGGAGGGACCTCGCAGCCGTCTCTGCCGCGGGCCGCCCGTTAAAATGGTGGTTTTCACGTGCAACGCGTGTGGGGAGTCGGTGAAGAAAGCGCAGGTGGAGAAACATGTGCACATCTGCAGGAGCTGCCAGTGCCTTTCCTGCATGGACTGCGGCAAGGATTTCTGGTGGGTAAACGGGGCTGGGTAAATCTCACGGTGCTTGTCACGGGATAAACTTTTCCAGTGGTGAATTCGGATAAAATTAGCTTCCAGTGGCCTAAACGTGGTGGTGACTTCTCCAAACCCAGAAGAAAGCACTGCTGTAATTTGCCTTTCTGAATTGCATGCACGAATTAACTTATGTAAAAAAAAATGAGATATACCTGAGAAAGGACTAATAAATTCAGTAATTCATTAAAGAGTAGGATTCACTTCTTGACAGTGAGGGTGACAGAGCACTGGAACAGGCTGCCCAGAGAGGTTGTGGAGTCTCCTTCTTTGGAGATCTTTAAAACCAGCTTGGACACAGCCCTGTGCCACGTGCTCTAGGTGACCCTGCGTGAGCAGGGGGGTTGGACTCGATGACCTCTGAGGTCCCTTCCAACCTTCGGCATTCTATGATTCTATGATCTGTGCTATGAAATTTTTTTGGAAGCATTTACACATCGGTCAGAAAATATTTTAACTGTACTACAGTTCTAAGTAGTTATCTGTATTTAAGAATTTGGCTTCTACAAGCATTAGTTTTAAAATGTGTCTAGTAACACAAGCAACAAAACACAAATACGTGCTATTAGCTTATTTAGATGTGAGGAGATATTACATGTACCAATGTGCAAAAGTTAAAGATTCAAAAGTAAAATAATCTGTTTTCTGGAGACTTAGATCTCATTGCAGATCAGAAGTTTCCATTGAAGGCTTTAAATGTGGCAGAAATACAGCAGTCTTGTAAGCACCCATTTCAGACCTGCTGACTTTACTCATGTAAGCGTGCTGACAGTACTGAGGCTTAATCGTACATGATGTCACCCGTGACTTCCCTTTACTGATTACCTAAATAGCGCAGAGTTTGAGGGGAATTAAATATTTTGGTGAAGTATTGTTAAAAAATTTCTTATGTTCAGGGGTGATGATTACAAGGACCACGTGAAGTGCATAAGTGAGGACCAGAAATATGGTGGTAAAGATTTTGAAGCCAAAGCTAACAAAGGAGATGCTAAACAACAGGAGTGGATTCAGGTAACATTGCAGCATATACAGGTTTAACAAATAACTATTAGTGCTAATTATTAAAGACTTGAGAGGCTATGCCACATCAGACCAAAGATCTACTTTTCCCAATGTTCCTAACATTCCTTTGGCAATCCTTTAACTATTTATTCATCCTGATAAGAAATAAAGCTTTTGTTTGTTTTGAATCTGCCTCCTACTAATTCCATTTAATGTCTTGCATTAAAAAGAGGTATTCATCCTTGTCCAACCTCTTCCTGGCATATCTGCTTTTGTCAGCCTTTGTCACACGTCTATCCTGCCCTATCCCATCATCTCTGTTCCAGGCTCAAAAGTCCTCTCCTGCTCACTTATTCTTCAGATAGAAATTATGTCGTTGGTCATTTGTTCCCCTTTCTGAATTTTTACCAGTTATTCTGTATAACATACATTTGAGACAAATTTACCAGAACCCAATTTTCAAGATATGGATGAAGCATGGATTTACTCTGTCATAATGGTCTTTTCCATTTCCTTCTCTGTTCCTTTCCTAATGATCTTTGGTATTTCATCTCCTTTTTTTTTTTCAATGCTGATCATTGTGATGACATTTTTGTGGAACTTGCCCAAGATCATGCTTCTAAGCAGTACTTGTCATTTTGAATGTGAATTCAGGATTGTTTTTCCTATGCATGTCACCTTACATTGATTTTTGTAGGATTTATTTCACCTTTTTATTCCCAAGACATTCATTCTCATAAGGTCCCTCGGAAACTCCTCACAGTCTTCATGCTGAATAGCTTAATATCATTATGAAAAGTTTCCTACTGACTTTTTTCTGATGATCTGTGAACATTTTGAAAAGCATAGACTGCAACAAGTCATCATTGGAAGGACTATTTTCTCCCACTCTCTCTGCCCTACCTTTTAGCTCTTTTTTCCATGCAAGAACCTACTTTTTTATGGCTGCTTAGTTTCCTTAAGTTTTTGGGAAGGAAAGATCAAATAAGTTTTTTAACTTAATTGAAGCTGGCTGGACTGTGTAAAGAAGTGTATTTCAAACAGTGACCTCAGAGAACCTGCTTTTCACAATTGATTTGTGAATTGACAATTCGTGATTGACGATCACTGTCAGTTGACAATGTCTTTTCCTGTTAATAGTACTGTCCTTTTCACAATGCACATTTTCCCTATTTGTTAAAATTACTTTTCAGTATTAAAAATGCTTCTACCTAGTTTACAGGTTGTATATCAGAAAGCATTGGTGAGCAGTCCTCTTGCCTTCATTTAGTATATTTGTAAATATTTTTACAGATAGCTTGGAAACTTATGTGCTCTTACGATAAAGCTAAAGATGAGTATTTTCCTTATGCCTGTTGTACACTTTCAGCAGGGTATACAGTCTTTGCTTACTAGGTGATTTCTGTCCCAGATGCTTCTGACTTGCACACCTTGCATATATCCTTTAATCTGTTTCTTCTAATTTTGTTTTTCTTCATTCAGAAAATTCATGAAATAATGAAGAAGCCAAACATTAGCCCTAAAGTGCGGAATATTTTAGAGCAAATGCGTGTCTTTGATAATATTCCAAGAAAAAAAGTAAAATTTCAGGTATGTTTTAAGAGAGATTTGTAGTGATCCATGCAGTGAACTCAAAAATAGACTTAAGAAGTGTCGTACTCCTTAACATACTGTACAGACTGCGCTTTTCTTTTTTTTTCTTTCCTGCACAGAATTGGATGAAGAACAGCTTGAGAATCACTGACAGCAACTTGCAAGACCAAGTGTGGGATATTTTTTCTGAAGCAACCAGAAATGTAAGTGAGGTTAGAGGTGCAACATCATGCAAAAAGAATGCAGTCAAAAATGCTTAAGAATCTTTCAGTCTGCTTTTCAAATTGTTAACAAAAACATTGAGTCTTATTGTTACAGTGTACACAAGTCGGTTATTTAAATTTCCCATAGAATATTATATTCAATATATATCAACTTGCTTAGATAACTTTCAATCCACTCTTAGGAGTATATAAAGGCTTTGTAATATGTGGCTTGAAGTGTTGCATTTACTGAAAAGCACAATTTTAAATTGTAATTTAAATTGATTTGAGAATATTGAAATGAAAATGTCAGTATTAAGTTGCTTACACAAATATTCTCTTTCCAAACAGCCACATTACATTAATAATCAGATTTAATCAAATATATAATAATAATTCAAATATAACATGCAAGAAAAGTACAGTCAGCCACACTATGTATTGCTGTTTCCCACATAAGTGGTGTTACTTTGTGCAACCTACTTGCTTGAATTTGGGATATTTATATTCTTCCTGAATCATGTAGTAGAGAAAAGTTGTAGTCTAAAAAGAAAAATGTAAAAATTGTAATAACCTGTTTTTTAACAAAAGAATTCAAGTGATAAAAAACAAGACAAGCCACAACAGAAAGAAGAAAGCCAGTCTGCAGAAAGTGAGAAAAAAACAAATGGAGAAGAAAATGGAATTACAGACGACAAAATTGAGAGGAAAAAGAATAAAAGAGAAAGGAAAGAAGAGAGACAAAAAAACAAAAAGAAGGAGAAAAAAGAACTGAAATTAGAAAACCAGCTAGCAAGCTCAGAAGCAAAGAAGAATAAAAAGACAAAAAAAGGAAAGGAAAGTATGGAGAATGAAAATGAAATAAATAGAAATGGCCATCAAAGTGATATGGAAGAAGAAACACATGTAAAGAAGCGCAAACGTAAACATGCAGAAGGTATTTATCTTAAACATTATGCTTAAATTATTGCTTGTTTTCAAGACAAGACTTTTTGCAATATCTTTAAAGCTCAGTAACGTACAATAAGAAATGATTTTTTTAAGTAATGCTTAAGTGGCACATGCCTTTTTTTATGCGCTATGGTTACACAGTCCTCTCCTTTTATGAAAGCTGAACCTTTTAGTAAACATAACCTGTTACAAGAACAGGAACTTTTAAAGTCACATCTGGAGGTATTTTTTTTTTCTCCTTTGTTTATTTTTATACTATTTCATTGACAGAGGAACCTCATCTTATGACAAAGAAAATGAAAAATGAAAATGCCTCAGGAGATGTTGGAACAGAAGAAAACAATGCCAGTGAAGAGGGTGCAGGAACAGATAAAGGTATTCTTAAAGAGGAATTTGGGACAATTAATAAACCTATCAAATTATTTCATTATTATTTGACAAAAAGCCTAAAGCAGGATATAAATACACAGTTTTTGTAGCAGGCTGTGCAATAAATTCTGCCACAGCTATAAGGTATAGATATCTGCTCCATTCTATGCTATGGTTATGCTTGTTGCTGAATTACTTCCCTTTGGTGTTGCTCTTGCTTTGCTGGCTGCTTTTGCAGGCCTGAGACTGGTTGTGGAAGTTAATGAGGTTAATGGCTGCCCTACTGATGGTTTTCAGAAACAGCCTACCTGCCTCTAGGCTGAAAATGTTCTGCTGTGGTAAGGTCAGAAAGACAACAATGAACTGTCCTGGTAGCTGAACTGCTGCTAAAATTAAGAGGCTGAAAGTTAGTTCCTGCTACGGAAGAAGGCCTGGAAATATCAAATATTATTAATGCTGTTACGTGCCTACTTCTGTTATAGGCAAATTTAACTGGAAGGGAACCATCAAAGCTGTTCTGAAACAGGCTCCAGACAATGAAATTTCAATCAAAAAATTAAGAAAAAAGGTAAAGTATTATTTTTTTAATCTACTCCGGTTTTGGTTTTGTCTTTTTGGTGTGTCTTTTTTGTTCCCAATACATATATTTTAAAATCCTTTCATATATAACAAAAAAATGATCATTATTTAACAGAACAGTGGTTGATAGTATGGCAACTGGACATGTTTAGTGTTCTCTGGGATACAGACGCAATTCAGTACAAATTCCTTGTGAATTAATTGTATAGTAGATTCCTTGGTACTTTTAAATCAGTGAAATGAATGTATTGTTGCCTAAAATGGAAGCATCTTAATGCAAAACCGTTCCTTTTTGTTTGTATTTGCAGGTTATAGCTCAGTATTATGCAGTAGCTGGTGAACATCACAAATCAGAAGAGGATATTCTAGTCACATTTAATAAGAAAGTCAGTAACAATCCCAAATTTAAAGTTTTAAAGGACAAAGTTAAGCTTCTGAAATAAGCGTTTTCTACCTTTTGTAGCCTTTTAGACTTGCAGACTGAGTCAAATTCTCCTGTCAGGTATGTAAACACTGTATTCACTGGTCTCAATTTAAATTGTTTGTGTATGTGACAGCAGAATTTAACTTTCCTGGATTTCTCCTCTTTAAAAAAAAGTATCACAGAATATTTGAGAAGTGCTGCATATCTGTTTTCAGATATTTTATTTTCTGATTTTATGGAAAACGTATATTTTTATACAACTTTTAAGAGTCAGCAAAAATAATTGCTGCCAACTGTATTAAAGTTCTTCCTCTGATGGATATAATTTATAGGTAAGAATGTTTATTAAGCCTGGGTTGTGTGGTGTTTTTGCAGAAACTTTGTAAAAGCAGATAGGATTTTCATGGTCAAAATCTCACCATAAAATAAATATTTTATGTTACTATTAGAGATGGCATCACCGACATCCCCTTTATACACTATAGGTTGAATATGCAGGCTTATATAATCTGTTAAATCCATACTGTAAAATGTATTGTTAAAGTGTCTTTGAAGTTCATGTATGTAACTTTGCCCATTCAATGAAAATTTCCCTAGCAATGGACCTACCTTGTATATGTCAAGCTACTTTAATGTTTTGTTTAGTAATGCAGTTAAATTCAGTAAGTAATGCCATATGGACTAAAAATTGACAGGCTAAATAAATGGCTTTAAAACATAATCTTCAAATACAATAAATCTTGCCAGGTGTTTTCATGATTGCGTAAGAGACCGTCCATTCATTAAATCCACAAACTGCACTGTGGAGGAGACCATTATATTGCAGTCACAAAACTAATTAAAAGCAAAAGAATAAAACAAAAAGAATAAAAACAAACACAGAAAACACAGAAGCTTACAAATAGGTAACAAACAGTTGTGAGAATAAAGTTACTTGATTTGTGCGTTTTTTAACCCAATGCAAAATGCTTCCAAGGAAGGGAGGTTTTATACCATGACTTGATCTCCCACCAGTCATTGAAACCTTGTGAAAATTTTTGCGAGTAGTTTCTGTGATGATGGGGAAAACTGCATAGTGGCTCCAAGAAACTACATTGGTATTTTTCTATAAAATCTCTCTGGTTAAAACTATCTTAATATAGAGAAATATTGCATATATTAAAAGTATAAATGCAAAAACATTAACTAAGAGATACACCAGGCCCAGACTCTTTCTGAATATATATTTGTCTTGTTCATCATAAAAATAGCAGTAAAAACTGTCTAATTAAAATATTCTCACCAAATGGTTGTTGTCACTTCATATGATTAGACCTTGTGATGTCAGATCAAGTGATTAAAATGTATTTATGTTCACAGAGAAACTTCTGAAAGTTGTTTTAACAAATTGCAAGGATTTTTTTTTAATGTAGGAAGAAACATAGAAATCTATGATTTTTGTTAGTAAAATTAAAATGAACACAATTCTGATTTTTTTTTCTGTTGTGCTTGTTTCGCAACAACTCTGTTACATTGAGGTGTTAAATGGGTTAACAGTAATGACTATAGGATTTTTTTTTCATTATTATTCATTCCAACTTATGCCAGTCCCCTCTATTTTTCATTATCCATTTGCACTACTTTATAAGAACCTAGAATAGCATCCACCGCGACAGCAGCTGCTGCCTGTCCCCCTTTCTGCTGCTACAACTATGGGTGCTAATTCCATGCTCTGCCTCCAACGTATTCCCCCTCCCCCAAATTGCTGGATTAAGAGCTGAAGTCTCCGTCCTGCCCTTGTGAGTGCCCAGCGCCCAGCCAGGCCTGTCGTGGTGCCTGGGTGTCACTGCTGTCCCCAGCTGCGAGCTGGGACCGGGGGACAGCTGCCTGGCTGCGAGCACGTGTCCTGCTGCTCGAGTCACCTCTAAACAGGCCCCCAGCAGCTCTCTCCGTGCTGGGATTTGGCACTACTGCAGTTTGGGAACTCCTGTACTGAGTTACCTGCACATTTTTGTTTTGCTATATCGACCTGCATTGGTCTTGACCTACTTATGAATGCAGCTGCATTTTTTTCTTTTTCAGACTGCTAAAAGCAGTGTATATATTAAAAAAACATTGCTACTAGTTGTAGTTTGTTGCAGGTTCAGAGTTCAGGAGAAAGAGATTACTGTTAGGGAAACCAGCAGTGTTTTCCAGTTCGTTGTAAGTCAGTGTATTTTTCCTTTTGACCGATCCTGGAAGTATGCAGTCCGTGCCGCTAATTAAAAGCACTGCATATCCAGCACAGTAGCAACATGGATGCACAGCTCTCTAGCAGGAAAGGCTCTTTTAAGCATTTTTAGTACAACCTTAAGATTTAGCAAGTGTGAGAGGCCAGCAGTTATCTGTTTATGAGTGGATTTTTGATTGCATTAAAATAACATATAATATTTAATATGATTATTCAAATATATAGTATATAAGCACAGCAGGGTGCAATCTATTGGATTTGGAGTAATTTGGAGCAGCTGCTTCAATTTTGCTCAGTAGGTTAATTAAACATTATCTCATGCCAGCTTCAAGCTCAGATCATTAGTTTGACTGAGCAGCTCTTAAATTCTCCTTCAAGTGACATTTGGATCTGTCACCTTCCAAAATAACAGGACTGACATCCAAACATGGCTGCAGTTGCAGAAGGAGTATCTACCTCTCACAGTAACAAGGTTTGCATATGCTGGAGCCCTCCCTCCTTTTTTCCATCAGCTACATCTATGATGGCAGGCTCTGTTGTTGATGCCCATGGAAATTTAATAGACAACTTCCATATTTGACCTTTTAAAGAGATCTTGCAATGGGTACATGATGAACCAGAAAGTTTGTCACCTGCAATTCAGGTTCTTGGCAGGGACATCAGTGGGGACAGGAAAGATGCAAGTCCCATGCACTTCTGAGCTCCTCTTCCAATACAGGCCAAGAACAGGACATGTAAAAGGGCTGTCATGATGGAAAACTAAGCGGGGCCTCAATTTAATACTTTATCTGACAGAAGAGCTAGTACAGAAGAGTTTCTTACACTTAGAAGAGTCCTGGGCTTCTGCAGCCATGGGAAGGTTTTAGCACATAAGCAACTGCCTCCCTTTCCTGTGGCATTTCATTAAAAAAGCCATTAAAACTGCATCCAAGTTATGATGTGCTTGAATTGGGGACCTGAGGAGAACCAGCAAAATGTAGCACAAGAATATGTAACTTCATCCTACTATTAAATCAATAATGGGATTTTGGGAGGAGGTCTGCTTGGTTCTGTGTTTGTAAGAGCTTATACCTCAGTTATTACAATGTGTTAACCAATTTTAAACACAGAAAATTGCTATCTGGTGGATTTTCCGTGTAAGATATCTTACCTTACCATGTTTGATTATTTACACACAGTGGCAGAACTTTCTAACATTCCTGCACTTTCTACTCTGGTATCTTCCCACATCTAACAGACCTTTTTTTTTGTTACACAGACTTTCTGTGCACTTCAGATAATATTAGTGGTTGTTAAATTAAAACCTAAATGTTAGTGTTTAAGCATCAAACAAACCATAAAGCCAAAGACCTGCAGCAACTCCTTAAGTTAGACCAGACAGTTTTAGAGCAGCTTGATCTTTTCCAAGATTTGTTTCTATTTTCCTGTACTATGTTTAAGCTTTTGGTACTGCCATGGCAGTGTGGCAGAATCAGAGTGTGGCTGAAAAGACACTCATCTTTTGTGGTGATTTTCTTTTTAGAAACCAACAGTAATATTCAGAAAGGCAGGTTACTATTGCGTAGCTGCCATTTTACATTCTGAGAACAGAGCCCTCTAAACTTCTGCTGTTTTTTTCTGTTTGGGGCATTTTCTAATTTAAATGCATGAATTTATAACAGTAAAGCTATTAATTTAGTTTGTAAAAATGCAAGTATTTATTATAGTGACAAGAACTGGATATTTTTTACATAAGTGTTTTAGTATTAGAATGTTTAATGCCTTAAGTTTTACTATTAGACATCCATTGAAACTTGCACTCTATCGAAGTGAAACTTGAAAACAATTAAAATTAATTTTAGTAATTTTCTTGAACAGTTAGCATTTACTTATTGTAGTTAGCATTCACTTAGTAACTTCTTCATTGTAACATGGGCCAAGGTCCTGAAAAATGTATGAGAATGTTTGTATAAAGTTGCACTGAGCATTTATGACAAACTGACAAAATCTTTTTTTTTAATTATTTAGTTATTTTTATTTCTTTTTTTTCCAGAAATTACATGTTGAGCTTTCATCATTTTGTAGTAAAAACGATAAGATTTTAATGAGTATTACGTATAGTAATAAACTGATGAGGAACCATCAGATGATAACACAGCATTACAGAATGCTCCAGAACATTTGGCTGATTTTATACACAGCATAAGATATCTCCATTAAAAAATACTCCTTATTGCTAAAATTTCCCCTTCTAAAACAGTATACTGGAAGTTGTGTGATGAGAGGAAGAAATAAGTATATTGTAAATTAGAAAATGCTTTGAAAACAGTAGCTTTCTTAATAGGTATAGCGCATGCATTTAACCAGGGAGTGCAATCATGAGAAGAAACAGGCTTCAAAGGATGGCTGCTCGTTTGTGTTCTCGCTGTCGCGGGGCATTAGAGGGGCTCATTCTTCTCTCTGCCTGTGAAAACCGATCCTCCCACCTGGTGCTATAACCCAGTGGCTTCAGTGCAGGGGATCAGGCCCCGACACGAGCAGAGCCGATGACCAAAAGCTACCGAGCCCCAGTACGTTATTTCATTCGGAAACGTTTTAAGTTGTAACTCTTACCCTTATTAAGGAAATAAGAGAGCAAATATTAAACTTTTAGTGTAAGATAAGCAGACAAGGCATATTGTTCTATACATTGAGCCGTATTCCCAGGTTACCAGATATCTCAATCAATATATTCAGCCTCCATCCCTTTCTTCTCACCGTCTAGCTTTCAAGAAAGAGCAGGAATAAGTCCTCTAAGTTTCTTTTCTGCTCTGTCGGCCAAGAAAAGCATATTAGGTTTCCCCTTCGTACTTTTGACAGGAAGTATTATTTTATATTGAATTTCACCTGGGCTAGAGGAAATTGTAGTAGTAACTTTGCTTTGCACTTTCTAGGATACAATTGCTTTTGCACCTGTATCCTCCTGCTTCTACATTCTCACAAAGTGCTGGAATGTCTTTTTGCTTAGCTTGGCTTTTTCCTTCTTTGCAAAACTGCAGATCCACAGAGCAGAATCCTTTCGCAGTCATATCCTTTTTTTATTTCTCATCTTTTCTAATTTATTCTACCAGACTTAGAAATGTTTGCTATTCAGGTAGAGACTGTATATTTTCACCTTCTCATTAGCTCTTTTATATAGAAACTGCTTTCACTACCAAACTCCGTAAAACCTTTGACTTTCAGCAGAAATAATATAACTGACTTCCCCCAGAAGTGCTTTTAAGTGTTGAAATGACCTGGGAGTTTTCTGAAGTCATCTCTAAAGTTACAGCTCTGCTTCTTTTTAAACTTGGAGAGACGCACGGGATGGTAACAGAACTCACGTCTCCGCATGACTGAGACTGCAAGTCTCAGGCTGTAGGGTGGAATACACCACTCCTAAAACAGTACCAAAATCCTCACTGAGGCCTGAGTGAAGGAGCTATTCTTGGGCATGAAATCTACATTCAACAACCTTGACATATTAGCAAAAAAAGCTTAAAATGGCAACTTTTAGACAAAAATCTACCATATCTACCGACAGTCTCAGCACTGCCCAGATGAGTGCACGTGCCCAAGCAAGCTTGCTGCCTGTCCAGATTTCTTGCCACACCTGAGAGAAGGAAAATCAGCTACCAGCTAGCAACCAGACAGCAGTGCTTATTTGCTTTCCAATGCAACCTGAATGCAACTATTATAAAAACTTAAAAGCTTTCTTCTATAAAATCCCCAGCCTGATCCTCCATCATCCTAACGCTTTTGTCCTACTCTACTTTTCTATAAAATTTCTTGACTCATTGTCTTCAGAACACATCCTAGAGTCAAGGTGGTGTAAGTAGCTGCTGTTACCACATAGTACCACAGATGGCAAAGGCTGCTGGTTTTGGTGGCTGAGGCCCAGAACCTCCTCCTAGACTTTTCTTAGTGTAGCAAGTACTCTACTAACTGAAGCCAACACCTCCTGCCAGTTGTCTTCTAACTCAGAATCCTAAATCAATAGTTAATAGAAAAGTTCTCACTGAGTTTGGCAAACATCCCTAGTGCTTGATGGCTTTTATTGATTTTTTCTCCATGTATCCATTCTCCCATTTACTTTAGGACATTTTATGGGCTGTTTGTTCTTACAATTTCCTTGTCTTGCACCTTGAAATAAGTTTCCTTTTCCTTTCCTGTTGCTACAGTTCTACTTTACCTATTTTGTCGTGAAGAACCCAGCTTTTTGGTGATCAGTAAGTTCAGCAAGAGGTTAGCACTGGGTATGATAAAGGCTCCATGGAAAAAAACTCTTTGTCTCCAGACAAACAGTATGAGTTGAATTCCATCAGTGGGATGTTCCCATGCTGTAGAAGTGGGTATGTGATATATGTATATGTACTTTTCCGGTCCTGGAAGAGTGAGATCCCCATGCCAAAGGAGGCAGGTCCTCACTGCAGCTGTCACATCACTGGTATTTGGGATATTGGCCCATCTTGGGGAAAAAAAGAAAAGAGTTAAGATGTGCTCACTGCCTAAAAAAATATTGATCTCTATGAATACAGAACCAAAGTGTCACATCTGACTATAGCAGGACAGAGGTCTATGAATACTCAACCGAATGCCTATTCCTATAATTGCTAAATGGTCTTTCCTAAGTTAATTAAAGCTGTAGACTTCATAACGCCCCCAAAATGTTTATAATTCAGGATGTTCCTACATGCAGTAAAGTAAGAAATTCTTAGGCTGTTACAGATGCGTAGTATTTTCCACAGTGAGGAAATAAGCTCCAGTAATTCCCAACTATTCCCATTCTCACCTTTCTACATCTAGTTATTTGCTTTTGCATTTCTGTCATCCCATCCCTTGCTCTGGCACAACTTCTTGGGGACTGTGCAGTGATTTCATGTGAAGAGTAAGTTCAGCCTAAATCCAGCATTTTTTTGCAGGCTTTAAAGCCAGATCGAATCCTTTGACTGACAGGGATTATATATCACTACCGAGTCAAGAAAAATAGTAGCTGAAGTACTGCTGCCAAACACTGTGTATGAACAATCTGTGGTCTCAGATAAGCATTTTGAGAGCCATTGGACTTGCTACGAAAGTAAGTGCAGTTAATCAAGATTAAATTCAAGAAATGATTTATGAGAGAGGTAGTAGGAAAATTTAGTTAATTGTTATTTGAATCTGGTTTATTCGGATTCATTTAATGTGTCATATGTTTGATGACCAGAGCTAGAATTAGCAAAGCCTTCTCATCATATATTCTTAGTCAAATTGAGATTTTGGATTAAAGTTTGTCCTAGCTTTTTTTTTAATATAATTTGCACTGACAACTTTAAAAGTAAAGTACAGCTAGATAAAATTCAGATCATATTTTATATGGATCTTTCTTCTTCAGTTTGCTGAGACGCCCTTTTCACCTGCTTTAGCTTCCTTTATTTTTCATGCTTTCGTTTCCTTCATGAGTTCAAATGCTTGCATGTCCACAGGTAGAGTATTCTTCGCATCAAACACACTATTATATGTATTGTTTCCCGCTTAAAGGGTCAGTTCAGGGCTACACTGTCATTTAAGAGTCACATGAGAATTTAATTTGAGTCCAACAGTTTCTATATGTATTCCATTCAGGTAAGATTGAATTTTAACTTTCGGCTCTTTCTACATCTACATCAAGCTTTTAACACCAATTGCTTTCAGGACTTCAGTGATTTTTTTCCATTGTACTAAATTTAAAATAATGAAAGAAAAGCTAAATGGAGGCAAGCAAACTGTGGTACCGTTTGAGGGCTGCCTTGTTGCCTGCACGAGCTAGACAGTGATGCATTTAGCTTTTACCCAGTGCAGAAGACACATAGTGCTCTACTACGACGGCAGAACTCAGAACGGACTGCGAATCCTTCCACATCTCGTGCTGATGGCAGAACCTGGGCGGCACATCACGACGGACCACATCGTTTGTTAGTCCATGAACAGAAAGCCCAGCGCGCACTGAACTATCACTTCCCAAAACATCGCGCCTTTTTATGCTGCAGCCAACCTCTCTGAGCTGCAATGAACACAGGGAGAAAGAAACTAGCCCTACCTATGTAAGGGATGAAGAAATTTGACAACATTTGGGCTGTTTAGCTATTGTGAATATTGTAAAGGGGAAAAGTTCTGAATATCTGATATAAAATTAACTGGAGACATGACTTAACTTGAACATGAGGCTTTACCTCAGAAGGCTAATTCTTACAATTGGAAGTGTCTAGTCAGGAAAATTAAAAAAACAAACTATGACTTGTGTGTCTCATTAAGAGTTACTTCTAAATCAACATTAAAAAAATCCAATTAATCAGTATATGGTAAAAAATATCCAACTGTTTTGCAAAATTCAGCTTTCATTTTCAATGACATAACACAATATTTTTAAATCTACAGAGCATTATTTTTATTCTAAAAACCCTGCAGAAGTCGAAGTCAGTTTCTGAAAACGTCAGAAGAATTCAAATCAGGCAAAAAATCAGGCACACATAGAGCAAACTGTTGAAAACTCTGTCCTTTGTCCATTCTTTCCATAGAATCTTCACAGACTCCAAAATTCCCTTCTCTGAGTGTACACTATATCTACTGGGAAAAGCACTTCATTTAAAAATACTTCCTAGCCTTCTTATATGAACCCTGAAATTTCTACTTGCAAGAATGAATTATCCATATCAGTCCCATTGGTTGGAAGCTTTTTAATTATGTTTTTCATTTTGGAACAGTCTCAATCCAGCTCCTGATGCCTATCAGTTCTTTAACAGATTAATAATTCCTGAAGCAGAGCCACTCTGTGAAAAGATCACAGAAAACATCTCAGCTCTACAAATACTGAACATGAGTGATCTGGGTTAAGGTCAATAATGAGTCAGGGCAGAGAAGCTCTTATTTCAGCTCCTTGCACAATACCTGCTCTGTAGGTAAACAGGAGTCTTCAGTTTAACAACACTGACAGACCTTAACCTTTCCAAACATACATATTTATTTAATTACTACATTTAAATCAAAGATATTTCCATGAATAGCTTTTGCAAAGAGGGTACATGAAGATTTTCTTTGTTTCTCATTTGAATCACTAACATGAAAGTAAAGGCTGAGGTAATCATTTCACTCAAAGGAAGAAAACAAAGAAACCTCTATTTCATTGCTAAGAAAGCTGAGCTCAGAGGTTCCCACCAGCTGTTAACTTTAAAATACTGAATCCAACTAAATTAAAAAAGGCCGCTTTAGTCACCAAGGACTACGATGTGGTGGCTCCTTCTGTGAGACATGTTCTAAAGCTGGAAAAAAAACCTTATTTCTATTCACAACGACACTGCTCACATGGATTTCAGATGCAAATGAAAGCCACGCTTTCTGCAGGAAAACAAAACAAAAAAACTATCAAACAAACAAAAAAACTCCCCAAAAGTTCCATCTCAAAAAAAAAAAAAAAAAAGCTGTAATAATTAAATCCAACAATTGTCCAACAAGTTCAGCATTGCTTAAAAACGATAGTGCATATAAGCTAGAACAAGCCCAGCTTGTACTCAAATTATCTTCTACTGTAATCTTCAAGTGTCCTGAAGACTATAGCAGTTAAAAATAAAATATATTATTATTTATCCACAGTCCACATTCCATTCTTTTTGCTTTTCCTATTTTCCTGTTTTCCCAGTATGACACTACAGAGGAAGAAACGGCAGAACTTTTCTGTCGATAAACTTCACACCATATATGAAGAATGCATGTGATAAGTGAAAACTTAAGAAAAGTTCTCACCATCATCGTTTTGTTGCACAGCAGTCAGTTATGTTTAAAAGGAATAGTGTAATTGGATAATTATTAGATAATTAAATAAACATTTGTTTTCTGAACTTCAACCTGTATACCATTAAGACTATAAATTTGATATCTGTAAGTAAAATACAGACTTTGTTTCTTACATCTTGTAAGAATCTGAGCTTTTACTCAATATTTCTGCATTTAATTATACAGTACTTCAAGGAAAAGCTATCTGCAACTGATATCCCTATCTAAAAGAAGCAAATTTTTACTACAGGCACTGGAAAATTTGCCTTAGTAAGGACTTTACACCCCCTGTCGTGGGATTTTTGTCGAGAAAATGACAGAATTTCTAAGCACCACAAATAAAATCTAATTAGCCTAATAAATCATTCATAGTAAAAACTAATTTCAACTTAAAAAGCCATGCTACTTCAAAGAACTGTAGATACTGCACAAATAAATAGCCAAGAACTAATCTGTAATTATAATTTAGTAGAGTTTGACCTCGCCCATATGAATAAACAAGAAAACAATATTCATGTAAGGAGTTTTAAGGTTTTGTCTGCAGAAAAATATTTAAATGACTTTATGTAATGCAGGTAGGTGAAAAAAATCAGTTACACAGAACTAAAAGAGAGGCAATCTATTGTTCCAGATTATTAGTTTCTTTAGCTTTTATCTGTTCCATTCTTGAATATATGGTTATTATTTTCAATTAGAGGTTGCTCTCACACTATTACAGAGCGCTCTTAAAAGCGCTCACAACTTTGTGCTGGACTCATTCTATCTAAATCATGGTTCTTTCTTTAAGATGACACAGTTGGCAAATCATGAACAGTCACCCAGTTTCCCATTTCCCCCCCCTTTTTTTTTTCTGTATTTCAGCAAAACAGGGCTCACATTCCTTCACTTGGGTTTGTCCATGGAATTGTTCACTGTTTTCAGTGGGGCTGAAATCACGGTTCAAATTCTATTACTGAAACACGCCAGTGTCATTTGCTTCAGAGGTGCTTATGACAGACACAGCTTTCCTTCCTAGACAATATATACAATTTTTATCAACTGTTTTTGGAATAAATATTTAAAGAAATCTTTTTGAATCGGTTGAGATATAACTTAGGAATTCAACAAATTAATCCTCTGAACAAATTGGAAAGGCAGTTTTAGCTAGAAGTGAGTGACTGTTTTCTAATATACAATTCACTCCAATTTATAACTCTTCTATTTACTATCTGACATGAATAGGTTTGAGTGATAGAGCAATTAGCCATCTGAAAAAAGAAAAGAAATACAGAAGTAAAAACACCGCAAGAAGTGTTCATCGGTTGTGCTTTTCTGTCACACTGTACGAAAAAAAACGAAGAAAGGAACAAAGGAAGGCTGCTAAGGTTGCTGGAAGATCAGATCTTTATGAATTGTTCTAGGCCAAAGCTTTATCTCACCTGTTTTTTTTTTTTTTTTTTCTATTTATATATGAAATTGGTAAAAATACTTTCTATTGCAACTTAGAAAGTACAGATGATTAGTGGACTGCAAAGTAGACATACATTCAGCTCAGGTAGTTGCACAAACTTATCAGGACGATAAGTAATCTCATAGAGTGTATACAGAGCAGATACATGTTGAAAGAGGGATGGTCAGAACTAAGAGTGTAGTTGGCAGTCTTAAGTTATCTAAGATATATGTCCTTACTAATGGTGAAGTAAATGGCAAATAACACCGGGTGTCTTAACACTGTATGTTGAAATTTCGTGTTGGTGTATGAGCAGCTGGCAAGCTGGCGTTACAGAACTGAACGCGTGGGTAACTCAGGGTGGTGCAGTGAGATACAACCCTCTGAAATGATACTAAGTACGGCCCAAAAATAATCCAAAAAAAAAAAAATCTTATTACTTAGAACTTCAGCGGGTTGAGGCTCTCATTTTAGCTGCCACTGGGTTATCCCGCTCACAGGTACGTGATTCCCAGCACAACGTTCCTCATGGCGGGATAACGGTCGCAACGGCCGCGGCGCGAGTCGCCCAACGGCTCCAACGGCCGCGGCGCTTCCTGCCCGCGTCACTGCCGGCGCTGCCCAAGATGGAGGCCGGGCGCGGCGGCGAGGGGTTCCCGCGGCTCCGGCGGGGCCTGCGGGAGGGCGCGGAGCCCCGGGAGCCGCCGCCGCTGCAGCCGCCCCTCGGGACGGCCGGTGGGTGGCACCGGCAGCGCGGCCATGGCGGGAGGGGAGGCCCTGGGGCAGCCCACGGCTCCGGCTGCCGTGTCCGGAGATGTGGGACGGGAGGGAGACGCTGCTGGAGAGAAGCCCAGAGGCTTGTAGTGATGGTGGGAGGGAAGCACTGAGTGCCCCCGAGCCCGGGTAAATAAATGAAGACCAGGAACACCTGTAGCTTCAGCAGAGCCGTCCCCATGGGCAGCCGGAGACAACGTGTAAGGGGGCAGAGCTGTGACGCTGAGCCCATTCCTTTCACCGATAACTAATAGTGATAAAGGAGGCTGAAAGACTAAAGCATCAAAAACACTTGCGCTTCCACATGTATGTCTGTCCCATTTCTTTTTTTTCTTGGCAGTGTATATAAGTACTCAGCTTGTTAGTTGCTATCATGTGCAGAAAATGCACGTGTAGGTGTTTGCTCCATGGTGCTGCTTCCTGTGAAGCATTCCCAGTGGGGAGAACAAAAGACAGGTTTCAGCATAATCATGTTTTTAGTTTACCTGCCCCAGTGCATAGCACAAATCAGTCTAACTAAACTAACTAAACTAAAGCTGAAAAAGCTCTTGTGATGTGGCAGTAGCTTTGCAGAGGGAGAAAAAAGATATATGCTGAAAATCCCTTTGCAAACATGAAAGTTAATGAAAGTGAATACAAATAAATCAATAATTGGGATACAGGCTTTTCCTTCCATACGTAAGATTAATGAAAACACTTTAGTAACAAAAGGAGGTTCTTGAGTGGTTAAATAACCCTTTTGTAATCCAGTCAGCTGCTAATGTTCTAAAAGGGTACGCAAACAAAGTGTGTGGTGATTGTTACTGCCTTATCGTTTCATCAAAAGGTACCTTGCTTGGCCTTTTAGATTGCTTGCTCTCTAATATAAAGTGTATTAAGCTGAGTATAATAATCTCTGAAGATAAATGATGTAAAAGGATTAAGCATTGTATTTTATGTGACTAAAATCATACTGCACTGAATGACTAGCTTTAGTGATATAATTATGTTCTTATTTACAGAAGAGTCTACAGCTGCAGAGAAGACAAGGAAGCCTCAACCCAGACTGAATATTCACTCTGCATTCTGGATTTTGGCATCAATTGCTGTAACATATTACTTTGAGTTCTTTAAAACCATTAAAGAAACTATTCAAGGAGATAGGTAAGATACCCTTTCTTACAAAGAGTAATAGTGTGTTCATCTGACAATCACGCTCAGATTGTTAGATCTAACCCTTATGTTTTAAATCTTGGGTAAACAAACTAAACAATAACAAGTGAGGCTTGTTGTTTTGGTTTTCTTTTTCGCTGTCTGTACAGGAGCTATTTCATAAGGTAATCCCACGATGCCTAATTTGGCTACAAGTGTTGGAAAACAGAACTTGGAAATTCTCCCCAGTATCTTAATCTTTCAAGCTTCCTTTACCTGTTGCACTGTATCTAACTTTTTGCTGAAATAAATTCCTTCTACAGAGAAAAAATACCTGCAGCTTGAAGGTGCTAACTTGTCTAGTCAAATTGTGTTCTGGAAGATGTGATGTGTAAAGAAATGTTTGTAAATATAAAAATTACAGAATAACACCTAAACATAAGATAGTTGCTTATTGTGTCTCTAATTTATTTTGATGACAGATCAGGAAACATCAGTTTTCAGTGAGTTGAATCAACTAGCTTAAAACTTCATCTGTTTTGTCCAAGGAGAGAATCATTATTGGATCTTTTATATATTTTTGAAGACTACAGAAATATGTCAACACATGCTTAATGATTTCAGTGAGGAAATCACTTGAATTGTGATTAGTTCACAAAACACATCTGAAAATCTTAAAATTTCTACCTAAAGTTATGTTCAACTATAGTTATAATATATAATATATTATAGTTACATATATTATAGTTATATATGTATTGTATATATGTGTATATATATATATGTATATATGTATAATATGTAGATATTATAGTTATATTATAGTTATATATAGTTACAGTGTGTACACTAGACTGTGCAGGGCAGTGTGTGTAATGGATCTGGCCATAAAAATAGGTTTGCAAGAATGTTCCAAAATAATGTGCATAAATAGAAGGATAGACTAGGGAGAATATATCCTTGTTTTGAAAGTGATGCTGGAATGGGAAGGGCTATAATACTTTGGAAGACCGGATTTAATTTCATGTGAGTATCAGTGGTTTTCAGATCACTTCTCAAACTGGAGAAATAGTATGCTGAAGAAAGTTAAAATTCAATAGGGTTGGTGCACATACACTCAAGAAGGAGAAGCCTAGTGCAAAATGGAGAATTGAAATGTCTTGGTCCTTACTGATGCTTTTTCCCCCCACAGCTGGTGGTTTGCCTCTGGCAGTTGTTTGTTGGCTGCCTGTTTATCTGTTGCTTTTTACTGTATAATATATCTGGAGTGGTACTGTGGAATTGAGGACTATGATGCACGATATCCAGTACTGATACCTATCACGACAGCTACCTTTATTGCAGCAGCAATATGGTAAGTTAGAACCCTGTGGATATAAAAACTTTTGCTAAATCTGTATGAGTCCAACTATGTTAATAGACTCATTTTTATAAAACGTATAGTTTTTGTAATTTTGCTGAAGATACTGGTGACCATACAAGCTCAGTTAGCATCAGTAATTCCTTCCACTTTGAACATTCATCCTTTTATATCCTTTTATATCCTTTTATATCACCTCCTTTTATATCCTTTTATATCCCCTTTAATGTTTGTATGCATAGGTGTCAGGATGTCTTTCCATTAATAGTCCCTGTTAAGTATAGTACATATTACTCTGCTAGTGAGAGTGGTAGGACTCTCTGTATGCCCTTAAACACAGAAGATGTTTTTAATGATAAGTAGGCCATCAGTAACACATTCAGGTAGGAAACAAATGTCAGATCAGATTAAAAACAAAACCCACAGTATATTGCAGCAGTTTTTGTTTGTTGTTGATGCACTGTTCAATATACTAGTGAACTCTCTGTAGCTGTTCTAGAGATGACCAGTTTGGCCCAACTGGCCATGTTTGGCCAATTCTAAAAGTGAACTTGATCTTTTCAGATCAGTACTTGATCTTTTCAGTCTTCATTTTCCTTGTGAAACAGAGTTCCTAATGTAAATTGCTCGTCTCTTTCACCTGTTTAAGTTTACAAAGTAAGAGTGTATTTTCTAGGTGGGAGTATTATGGCACGTCAGTTCCTAACACAGTTCTTTTCTATCACACATCACACCCAAAATTTCACACTGAAATTTATATTTTAACTATTCTTCTATGTGTTTTGAGGGGTTTATCTTGCATAGTAGTGCCTTAGTAAGAACTGTTGTTTTTATAAAAATACAGAGATTAGTTGAGCGAATAGCATGTGAGTAAAAATAAAAATTATGAAAACTGTGTAGTGTGACTGTAAGTATATGCATTTGCCTCCTAAGTGAAAGGTGGTTCTTTCGATGTTACATACAAACCAAACCACTTTGTGACCTCTAGTGTATTTGTTGCAGTGCTAAGAAAAAAAGGAAGACTGAAGAAGATCAAGGCCCCTATAGTTTAGAATCTGTCAGATTCATAATCCTTATTCATAATCTGTCTAATCCAGTCATAAAAGTGTTTGTCACCCCCTCATCCTTGTTCTGTTCAGTTAGCTAATTCTCCAATCTTCTTAGCTCGAAATACAAATTAAGGCTCATCTCAGCTGCCATGTGTGCCTGTGGAGCAATCAAGAGTATTTTGTTTTCAGATGCTTCATACAGAGAAATTCTAAGAAGCATAAGGGTATCCTTCCTCCTGGAGGGACTGAGTGGACTTGTTCCGTGTAAAATCCTCAACTATTGAAGCTCAAGTATGAGTTGTCAGTAAATACGTAGTAAACCAAACTAACAGTTGATAAAAAAAAATGGTGCTAGTTTTGGTTTTCTTTCAAGTCATAAAGCAAAGAATTTTTTTTTCAGGTTGAGCCATTTAAGTCTCATTTCTTCTTGTGCCAGATTTTCTTTGTGTGACTGCTACTTCTGTAATATAACAACAGAAATTACCTAAAACTTCGCTTTCATTCCTAGTTTCAATGTTGCCCTATGGCCTGTATGGTCATTTATCACACCTTTGTTGCTGTTCACTCAGTTTATGGGTGTTGTGATGCTCGTGTCACTCCTGGGATAAGCCCTTCAGGTAAACATTTTTTGAATTATTTAAGCACATAAACATATTGTTGCATGAATTGCTATGTTAGACAAACAATTCAACAATTCCTCTTCTCTATTTGTATACAGTTTTAGAGTTACTAGACAATGTGCAAGTATCCTAAAGGGAAGAATACCATTTTTTCCTATTGCTTAAGATTCTTTTCTGGATTATGAAAAGAAGGCACTAGTGAGAATCGATGACTTTGGGGAGTCTGAACCAAGTATTTGCAGGTTTGCCCAAACTGTAAAACTTCTCAGAGAAGTTACTTGATCTGATAGTAAAGGGAAGAAGGCTGTTACTGTCTTTGTGCAACATATTCTCTTTCCACTCCCTCCCTCTGCCTCTCTCCCTCTCCCTCTCCCTCTCTCTCTCCCTCTCCCTCCCCCCTTCTCCCTCTTCCTCTCCCTCTCTCTCTCCCTCTCCCTCCCCCCCCTCCCTCTTCCTCTCCCTCTCTCTCTCCCTCTTTCTCTCTCTCTCTCTCTCTCTCTCTCTGTCTCAATCAGATATTTGCCTATCTCTGTCTTCCCACAAGCTATTTTTGTTCTTCTGCACAGTCAAATCTGTCTAGTATCTGGAAAATTGCCATATATCAGAAATTCCGAGGTCTTCCTGAAAAAAGTAGCCTCATCGGGGGAAAAGAGATATTTTGTTGCTTGAAAAATTTATCCTCAGTAGCTGAACTCTTGTAAAGGGGTTCCCACACCTTTTGCTTTTCTGCTCTAAAACATCAGCAAATGAATTAAGGGATATCCCCTATACTGATGTCAGGGTATCTGGTGAGGTGAATCCTTCAGTAGGACTTGCTTGTTGTTCTGTTTTGTGGGGAGAATGTAGTGCAACCAGCTGTTTTTTCTGTGCCATCACAAATCCTTTCCAGGGAAGAAGTCTATTCAGCACTGGTAAGCATGCAGCAAGAGGAAAGGTTGCGTTTTTTGAGTGTTGCATCTTGGAATGCCAGAGGTGTAGGCAAAAAATACTGAATAGCTGAGACACGGCGTTTATTTGCATACAGCAATTGAAATTATAGACAGATATGTTCTCCTAATTAATATCTAGAAGCCTACTTTTTTTAAGGAATAATTAACTTGGATAGTACACTGACAACTGCTATGACATCCTAAAAATACAATACTTACTTCAGAAACTATTGTATTATAGGAGTTAGAGTCACACTTGCAATTGGAAACTTCTTCAGTTCATGTTTGTCCTTCTGCCATCAGGCACGTTCTTATGATCGCTAGAGGGAGATGGGGAGAAGATGTGTTGTGGACTGCTAAAGCCTCAATCATATTAAAGACTAAAATAACAATTCTGCATTAAATTATGCTTAGATGGACCTAAAAAGTAGGAAGTAAAAATGAATTTCGAATGTTCTGAAGAACTGAAACATATGAAAACATTCAGTTTTCCTTAGCAAACAAACAAGTGAATTCTGCTTTACAGCAAATTGTGCACTGTACTTGGTACTTGGTGTACTTGGTAGTGCAAATTCTTCTGAGTAAACAGTATCAAATTAGTTCAACATATAGTCGCTGTGTAGAGACAATAATACTATCCTTACTGTATTTTAAAATTGTTTTCTTTTTCTTTCAGCTTCACGTGAGGACTCGCATAGCCGTTATCCTTCAAAGTGAATGTCACTTAAATCACATTCCATTTTTTTTGATATAGTTTTTAATACTGTTTGTTTGCTATAACTGACACCATAAAGACTACCTGATTTAAAAACCATATAGAAATAATCATGGTTCAGCCAGTGCCTGGGAGGAAATAACTGACTAGCAAAGAACAAAAAGGTAGATAGGTTTTTAATCACCTAGTAATAAAAAGCTTCTTATCCCTGTTCTGTAAAGTTTTTTTATTTATATTAGTATGTTAAACAGATGGGTAATAAGTCAGTTGTACAGTCTTAAGACTTATTTGCTGATAATCTTAGAATCATGGTATAATTTAGGTTGAAAGGGACTTCTTGAGATCACCTAGTGCAGCTTCCTGGTCAAAGCAGATCTCTCTATTTGGAAATAATTTATATTTAAATTCCAGTGTTTTGGGCTTTTAATACCACATTTGAATTGGGAGATAAGCTGTTGCTATTTGGAAACTGCATATGCACTTGTTAACTTATCTACAAATGACACAGATATTTATTGATCTGTTAATCTTATGAAATTACATGTGTTTTCATGTTCGAAATATCTTATTACATAGTTCCTTGACTTCAGATCTACTTGTATTTTATTATATAGTTCCTTGATTTCAGGTTAAAGTTAGGGAAAAAAATCTCAGATCTGTTAAAGGGCCTAGAAAACTGGTTGAAGTTTACACTTTGTTAACTTGATGGTGCCATCAGTGCAATAAATACATTACATTTTTTGCTGATGTCATTTGTCCACAGCCAAAGATGGATGATCAAGCTGCCAATGACCAGCAATATAACAAACAATTGTCACACTCTACAGGAAACTGAGAGCACAGAATAAATTGTTTTGATATATGCACTATTTTCCAATATTCAGGAAGTTTTTCTTTTGTAAAGTAACTTTTCCTTCTTAACCATGCATGCTTATGAAGGTGCCTTTTTTTTTCCTTCAGTAGTAGAAAGGCTAATATTAACTTATTGTCATTAGCCATAAACAGCTGGGAAATGATGTAACGTTGTTTTTTACCTTGGATGAGACACTTAAGTATCTGGAAACATCTAGTCATTGGATCATTTTTTATAGTGTTGTGTTAAATACTTTCAAAGCCAGACATTTTGGAAGATACAAGTGTGTAGAATGTGAGGACGGAAACAAGTGTTACTGCTTGTGAGTGTTGCTTAAAGTCTGGGCTATAAGAGTGATGATGTTCTTAATTCTGACTTTAAAGTCACAGCATTGCTGAACACTCACTATGTGAAATGTTCAGTAATGATATTACATATTTTTACGATACTGTAATTTCATTGTGTGCTGACAGGAACTTCTGTCCACTGTAAAGGAGAAAATTGTCATATTCCTCCTCAGTGCTTATCTGGTCAAACTAAAAATGTCTAGTGCTTAAAGGAACAAACTGCTTCTAGTCTTTGTCTTTTAACAGATCTGAACAATTTTGCATCTGCATAAGCTGAATAACTTTTTTTTATTATATTTAAATGTGCTTGTGCTCAGGGAGATAATTATCACTTATCACTGTTTGTGTTTATCAATTACATAAATGCAGTAGGAGCTTTAAGTTGCCTTGTACTTTCCAATTAAAGTTACTCTTCACTACATGTTTTTTCAGATTTATTCTTTTTAAATTTTGTATAAAAGTTGTCAATTATCTTTTAGTACATAATAGTTTAACCATCTAATTACACAGTTCTTGGGGACTCGGTATGCTTGTCTATGAAATAGATGTTTACATAAATTTTGAATACTGTACTTTGATTTGGAATATGTTCATCTTGCTTGGCCTCTCAGCTGAGTCTGTTATTTAAGGTGTAATGTCATTTTTTGTGACTTGAGAGGTATTTCCTGACTGTCTATTTTGATTTTCTTTTCAGAAAATTCCACACAGTATAAAAGCCCAGCAAGGTCTTTCAGTACAAAGTATGAATAACCATTGCAGTACTTGTCTAGTAATACGCTCAAAAGCAAGTGGTGTTGAATCTGGAGTCTAAATCTTAGATTCTGTTGAATCTAAGAGTTTAAAACAATGTTTGCTGTAGTTAGCAGCATCCTGATTTGGCCTGGCAAAACGTTGCTGCTAGTTCCTCGCTTTCAGTATTTCTCCCAACCCACCAAATCAAGAACTCAAGGGGAGACTTTAGAAAAAGGAGGACTTGGTATTTTCCTAAGCTGCAGAAAATGATGGATGTAGTTCTGAGCTAAAGCTGGTGAGGCTGTGACTGTTGGCTAATTATGCCCTTTTTATTTTTCACTTTTCTTACAGGTTATATTAAAAGACATTTATAAAAATGCTTATTAACATTTTGGGGAAAACTCTTTTGTTTTGACTGTTTTTAAAAAAAAGCTTTGGATATTTTATATGAACAAATTAAAAATAAAATTACAAGACCTGCCTGGGAGATAATCCTCTCAACCTCTATAGGCGATCAACTAGTCCTCCAAAGCTTGAGACTTGAATATGTCAATATTTAATCACCATAGGTTACAGCTGCACAGTTAAAAAAATATGTACATAAATGAGGAAAATGTGGGAACAGTGCATGAGAGACCGAAAGATGACAGAAATATGAACCCCTGTTTCTTGACTCAGATGGCAGGAGACTAAGCCTGACAGCTTGAGGGGACTCGGTCAAGAGGTCCACACTGGGAAGGATCCCAGGGCTGGGAATGACCAGGCTGCACCATAAGCAACAGGCTCAGGTTCACAGCACCAAACCTGTGGTCATTAGGACAGGTTTGGGCCAGTTCGTGACTGCAAATTATTATGCAGTGTGATTTCATCTACCTTAATTAACCACTTAGGTTTAAATACTAGTGTCAGCAAGTAAGTTATTAAAACTGTGATGAGCCTTATACCTGGAATTTAGCTTGGTACTCTTTATCTGCAAAACTGTTTCAGAGGGGAAAATACGGGGAAAAATAAGGCAGTAGTAAGGCAGTCTGTCAAGACTCACCTTTGGCACATACAAGCAATATTTAAGAAATGGGAAGACGGGGGCAGCTTTCTCTTGACTATTTTTTTGAAGCGCGTTTTGCTTTACCATCCTTTACCATTTTGTGCCCATCCTCGCTTTCTCTAAATGCATCCCAGGGCCACTGGCTGTTGTTTGGCTTTCCCATGGAGGAGATTAATCCTTATCGAGTTCGCTGCTCCTCTTCCCTCCGTCTCCCTGCCTAAGGCAGGACCCCCTATGCAGCTCCCAGACAAAACCCTCCCTGGGCAGCTTTGCAGCCGGCGCTTCCCTGAGGCCGCTCCCGCCCTCGGGATCCCGCTCCGCCCCCGGCCCCACGGCGAGGGCCCAACCTGCAAACAGCCTCGGGGCTCCCGGGTAGTGCCCGGCGGCTGTGTGGGAGATGGAGAAAGCGCCCGGCTCCCCCTCCGTGCGGGGCAGCTACCCTCAGAAAACGGCCGGCATCCTCAGCAGCCAGTACGGCATCAACCTCTTCCTGGCCGGGCTGGTGCTCACCTTCGCCTGGGCTGTGCACGCCGTGGGCATCAGCAAGAGCCACCTGCTCTCCTACCTCATCACCCTGATGCTCGTCCAGCTGCTGTGGATGCTCTGGTACCTGTGCAGGAGCTGCACGCAGAGGAGGCTCATCCGTGAGAAGGACACGCACGCCGGAGCCCGCTGGCTCAAGTGTAAGTACAGGGTGCAGGTCGGCAGGGCCTCCGAGAGCAGGGACCGTCACCTGCCTCTGCCACCCCGTTACTACCCGTCTCCATCCCTGGCGTGAGATACTCTGGTGTTCAGATAAATATTTGCTGAAGCTCAGCACACTAAGAGAGCCTCGTCTCTTTTACACACCTCTTTTCAGCCCTTGAAAAATAAAATAGAGTGTTTAGAGGCAATCGTGAGGGTGTCATCCTCACATCTCTCCTACAGGGATGATCATCTTTTCCCAGGCAACATAGTGCAATTTACCCTAGTCTGGCAACAGACAAAAAAGGTCTCCAATGCTCTCTATTCCATTGTAAATTAGAGATTCACATTTGTATCTGTATAGTGATGCCTTTAAACCACCTGAAGTCAGAGGAGGGCAAAGACAGAACACTTTGCGTTTTAAATGCATAAAACATCTATCTAAACAAAGAAGCAAAAGCCAGCATTACCTTGTAGGAATTTGCAGGAGTATTAGTGGGATGCAATGGCCCTTTTTGGATTCAGGTGCATATTGGAGGTAAAGATGCAAACGTGTTTCATGCAGGTGTTTGGGGACACATCACATAGACAGGAATGGGTCCTGAGGAAAGGAAACAACTCTGATGAACACCATGTAGAATAACAGGGAATCCTGTTGTTTCCTTTACCAACAGCTTTAGCAGCTGGCTCTTTTCTAGCTTGCGCTCGCTGTGAATGTCAGGTTGCAAGTGTGTTAAATGGAGTGCAATGAAACATTTTGTCCATGCAATCTCTTGCTCCTACATTAGATAAGAGCAAATTTCCACAGCAGCAGCTAATGAAAGGTTCAGATGAAATTTCCCAAGATATCTAAAACCTGATTATTTTAAAAATATGTGAGTTGAAGTTTAGTTTGTTCTCAGTCTCAGTGGTTATGTGTCTTTTTCTTTGCAGCTGTTAGCATGCTCACATCATGCTGAGTGAATTGCTCAAAGAAAATCTTTTTTCTTAAGTTTAACATTATACAGCCATGGTTTGTAGGCTCTCTCCTGAGGCAGAGAAAACCCCTGCTAACTGTTGAGTCAATCTCCTCAGTAATTCATTGTTTATCAAAATGATCTTCAGCTATCAAGAATTTTATAATATTAGCCTGTGTGGCATAAATGCTCCTTAAATTCGTTATAATAAGTTTCAATTTGGACCTGTTTTGGACAAAGGTGCACTTTTCTTGCTCACAGAGTAGCTTTTTCCTCCAAAATAGGAAATAAATACAGCTTAACAAGAGTATATACAGCAGAACCCACTGCCCTTTTTCTTCTGGGGCAGCATTCACAGCATTTCATTTGTCCTAGAGGATATAAGGAATCACTCAAGTCTAGAAATAAGATACTTCCATGAACTACTAGGTTACCATATCCATTTCTTTTATGAGGACAGGATTGCCCTTTGTAATACATTCTCAAGTGATGCAGATTCCACAGCTTCTCTTAGATGTCTGTGCTGCAATTGAACAAGCTCCCCCTTGGGGGAAATCTTTCCACATTTTCCTATTCTTCAGAGTTTCTTATAGTTGCATGAAGCCTATAAAACTCCTTTATCCTGTGTTGGTAAAAGAAAACTGAGTTAAGGTAAAACTCAGGAAGCAACTCCTTTGCCAAGATTTCTTTTGCCTTCCACTGTATCAATGGTTTTGTCCTGGATTTTTTTTTAATTTGGAAGAATAGTGAAAAAGGTTGGGAAAAGGTGGATTAAGCCTGGAGAAAGGAATTCTTTGCTATTTTTGAGTAGCTCTATGAGCTACTTCTGAAGAATGCCTCTTTGCTCTCATTGCTTGGGCAAATATCCATGGAGTGATACATATAAAATATAAGCACATACTGGGTGTGTTTTTCATGATTCACTTCAGACTGAATTACCGTTTTAGTGAAAGTATGGAGAGCTAACTACTTACAACATTTTCCTATAATATATGTTGAAGAGGAATTACTTAGCCAAAACATCTTGCAATCAAGCCAGTGCATATAGTTAAGAAAGCTAAAAGGACGAACGGCAGCTTTACAAAAATTGCTCTCTGAAAGGCTTCCTTCAACCTTTCTGCATGCACAAGACCAAGAATGCCAACCCTAGAGCACACTTCCCTTCCAGTTTGTGTGATAGACAGTCTTATTGTGAAAAAAAAATTCAGCAAAGTGCTATGTTTTCTCTAAGATAGAGTAAGCGTGATCCAAATAATTACAGGAAAAATTAGGAAAACATGTATACCTGGACTTCTTTCCTTGACTTATTCCAAATATTCCCCTTTCTTCTGTTTAAAGTACAGACAGCAAATCAATTTACTAAGTTCTTGGCCAAATCCAACTTTTATCATTTTCCTGCTTCCATTATATTATATATTACTTAATCCTGAACAGTATTTTGAGTTCAGATTGGCATTTTCATAACTGTATTATAATGGCTTCATTCTTCTCAACAGTTGGTAGAAAAAAAATAAGCAAGCACTGAGCACTCCTGTTGTTGATCTGCTAATGTACATGAGTTTTAACAAACATTTGGAAACAATCTCAGTCTTTAATAACTCAATCTTCAACAGCAATCATTTCATTTTTTCTACAGCTTTCAAATAGAATAACATGGCAGTGGAATTTATTACTTTTTCCTCGAGTTTCCATGAGGAAAAGAAAATATTGGAACCACTAGCATACTTTGTGTATGGTCCTTATAGTTGTGCTTTGATTTTTGACTGATTAAATTAGTGCAGTCATTCCCCTTTGAAACTCTTGAAATGTGCGTGTTGGGCACTTGGTATATACTGCAATGTGACCATCTGAGTGATAGATAGAAACATCTAAGGTAGTTGGATATATTATCTATAATGTAAGTAATCAAACATTAAAAGAAAAAGCTCATAAAATTTTCAGAGTATTGTAGGACAAAGGCAAAAATCTACATTCATTTCATTGAGGGCGGATCTGACCTCACCAAACCTCTGATATTACAGGCAACATTAGGAGAAATACTAAGGCATAAATCAGAATACTTCTAGGGAAAGAAACTTCACATTTAGATTTGTATTTACTTACTCCTCAAAGGTCTACTGAATATTGATGTAGAACTGGTAGAACTCTGCAATCCAAACCCATGACTTTGGTTACTTCAAATTCAGCCAAGGGAGAATGGAGCTACAATGCTGGTGGGCCCCATAAGGACAAGGTTGTGTTTAGTGCAGGACGTTTGTGAAGCACACTGGCAGTTTCCTGCAGCTATCTAAATAAACCATGAATCATAGTTCATCATATAATAATTTATTATTAGAATAAATTAAAAGGTACCTGTGGAGGTCATTAGCCCAACACCTTGCTCAAAGTAGGTCCACCCAAATCAAGTAAAGTTATTTCAATAATCTTAAAATATTTTCATTTTCTTTAGAAACAAAAATTGTTCTTTAAATTAGTGAAGAAATATGGTATGATTTCTAAGGAAGATGAGAATTTTTCATGTTGGGATGCCATTTACTTTAACATATGATGAATATGACATATCTATTTAAATGTAGGGTCCTGCCCTGCATGACATGCTAAGAAATTAATTATCATAAAAATAAAAACATGCAGAATTATACACTTGCATGACCTGCAGAATTAAGTTCTTGGCTTTTGAAATATGAAAGCAAAAGTTGTGGTGGAGGCAAACTGTCTGTTATTGAAAATTATGTTCTATAAATAATTTGGCACTTTTTATTGTAGAGATTATCTATAAAACAGAAAAATTCAAGTCCTGCTTGCATGCATATCCTTGACCTTAAGCTCTATTCTGAAGTCTGTTTTTTGTTTGATGTGGTAAAGAAACAATGCAATGAATGAAGAGTGTATTTAATGAATATTTCTACCAAAAGGTTTTTGACATATTTTTACAGATTCTGAGTTGATTTCTTATCTGCATTGTAATATAAAACACAGAGGACTGTGTTAGTGGATGACAAAATAATTCTCAAACATTGCCAATACACGGTGGTTTTATTATTTATATATGATTAATTTTTATTGATGCAAATTTATTAATGCATTTATTTCTAAGTTATTACATAGCTCAGTACAAGTCAGGTGAAGATGTGATTCTTCTAAGAGAGACAGAGTGTGGTCATCTTTAGTGCTGTTATTTATTCTATGAGGAATTACAAAGAAAGATTAAGTTATTCATACTGATGAAATGTTAAGGTCTATAGTTAATTTTTTAGCTCAATTCAAATAAGTGCCAGTCAAATCCATTGGAAGCTTCTCTGAACAAGTCTGGAGAAAACACACCAATCGAGTGAAGAGTTGAGATCAGTCATTTTATCACTAGTTGTGTTTAGTCATACGGGTACGAAACTAAGAGTTAATACCATACATTATCTTGTTGTGAGTTTTTAATAAACATTTCTGCCTGAAAGGGAAAGATTGCTATCTTAAAAGTGGGAATGTGTATTTTGAAAGTTCCTTAAAGTATGAGAAAGGTATCTGGACACGCATATAAGGATTTTTTGGGGGCGGGTAACACAACAGATGCTGAAATCTAAAGTCGTTGGTTGCTCTGTAGGAGGACAAGCCCTACATCTCTCTGGGGACTTGGCCACCGACCTACACGACGGCAGTGACATTCCAAGTGCTTGTGTTACTGCCCGTGCCGGGGCTCCGGGGCCCGGGGACTGTAGCATTATTGTTATTATTGTTCAGCTCTCCTGAATGCTACAGGCTGCTGGGTGGCTGTATAGGGCATTAATTTATGCCCGTGTTGTCTGCAAGGTGCTGAGAGCCTTCCCATCCTTGGCCACTGGCTCCTCTGTAGCAGATGTGCTGGGCATGAACGGCAATGGGCTTTAATCAAATGTTGGGTAGAGTCCATCATGAACTTCAGCAAGGATTTACTGACCAATTGCCTTTATAAACCTCCATAAATATTGATCTACTTTTATTTCTCTAAACGAGATTTTCACATATTGATACAGATTGTTGGGAGACGTTGTAACTGGACACTAATGTTTTCTAATGGCTTTTTCTTTTGTAGGTGGGATTACATTGTTTGCAGTGATTACTTTAATTCTGGACTCTTTTAAAATTGGATATTATGTTGATTTCTCAAACTGTCTCTCAGCAGCCGAAGGAATTTTTCCTGTTACGCATGCAATACACACTATCTTACAGGTAACAGCCACTGCATAGTTTTATGTTCTGTCTGTATTTTTTTATGAGAAAGTATCTTTTATCTTTTGGTATTCAGTGGATTGTATGTTAATTTCCTTTTTCTAGATATTACAGGATAATTCTGAGTGATAAATTCTTATGTATGTTTATCCTTTCTTTGTGTAAATTCAGGTATAGAAAGCTGAGAATTCAATAATTACACCTGTAGCTATATATATATATAAAACTTGCATAAATTTAAAAAAAAAAAACTCTTGAAATTACTGTTTTTTTTTAAATTGAAGCTACATACATAAATTTCAGTTTTATGACTGAAATGAACAGCTTGGCTGAAAACAATTCTTTTATTTCTATGTGTAGACCTTGCCACACAAGTTCAACTTAATCTGTCTCCCCTGATATTCCAGGGTAGTCAGGGGTAGAGCAGCCTCATATTTCAAAGGGGGCGTGCGTTTAGCTGGTTTAAAAATCTCTTGCACACATTTCCTACAACAAATAAACAAGGATGCTTCTTTTCCCCTCCACTTGCTAATTCAGCATATATATTTAGTAAATTGAACAAATTCAGCATCACTAGAACCTACAGTAATCATACTGGTCTTGGTTGTATTCTTTCCCTTGTCATTGAAATAAAAGTCTCTCCATATACAGAAGCAAGGTGTATTTTGGTGAGTCATACTGAAATTTCTACTGTTGAGCTACTGATTTCTGATTGTGCACAAGAAATCTCAGGTGCCTGAGCCACATGGGTTTTGGGTGAATGTCACAGGAAATAGGAAATCATGGGTTATTTCACATAAGTGGATATTGTGCTACCTGAGTTAAAGTCATTAGAAGATGTAATTGTGTGTTTTCCTCTAGAGATACACTTTCCTTTCTGAGTGTCATATATATGCACTATGCAGTGACATGTCTCTGTATTCCTTTCATTTAGGTGTACTTTCTTTGGTGTCATGCAAAGGATATTATCCAGTCCTTCAAAACACTTGAAAGGTAAAGTGGACTGATCCTCTCCTGCAATTCTGGTGATTGCAGGTCTGTGCACAGAGTACTAAAGAAGTGTTTCTAGGTGAAGGAACATTATCAGCGTTGTGTGCAGGAGTATAAACTCTCACACAAGTGGTAAGAGGTGGAAAGATTGTGCCTAGACAGTTGGGAGCAATTACTGTATGGATTTTGTTGGAGAGTTTTGAGCCATTGACACTACTTTCTCTGGTGCCTTTCTGTTTCACCAAGCCTGAATTTTCAAAGACTCTTGGAGATCTGGCTTCACTGTCCCAGTAATCTGACTGGCGTAGAGCCCTGTGGTGGTTCCATCTCTCTCCAGAAGACAGGATCACATGGGCTAGAAGCTAGGGAAGGCGGCGGCATCTTTGTAGGGCAAGGCCAACCACAGTGAGTGTAAAGAAGGACCACAGAAGGCTGTGAAATGGGGCTTGCAAAGCAGTTAATCCTGTTGAGACTGTTCAGCCACTGCCATTAGCATGAAACTTGCCCAGCCCAAAGAATTGTATAGGGGAGCATAACAAATAGCATATGGCATAATACATTTAGCCACAGTTTCTACAGTATTTTGCAAGCCTAACATTCATTCAATATTCAATATTCATTCAATGTGGAACATCTTTAAGTAGATGGGTTATGATTTGACTGACAACTGAATAGCACCACATGTACGGTCTGCAGTAAGTTAACTCATTTTATTTAACATATATGGAGGTATACTGCATGCATATTCTCTCAATAACTAATCTGTCTTGCAGGTTTGGAGTTATCCATTCTGTGTTCACAAATTTACTCCTGTGGACAAATGGAGTGTTAACAGAGTCAAAACACCAGCTTAATGAACATAAAGAAAGACTAATCACGCTTGGTTTTGGGAACATAACAATAGGTAAGCCAAAGAGTTGACATACCTTGTAATTTTTACTGTATACTTGTATACAAAATACTACACCACTGAACTAGGTAAGTGCTGAAGAGTCATTCCTGCGCAAATGATCAGTTCATATCACAACTGAAATCATATATGATCATTAACTTCATCGCGTGTGTGATCCAAGCTGTGGTTTTCTGTTTACTGATGACCCATTTGGATGAGGTCCAGAATAACAAGTCCTGGAATCTTGAGATTTTTTTTTTCCAACACATTTCTTTTGAGGAATAACATTATCAAAGAAGCACTTTATTAGTAAATTATAGAAGTAAATTGAGCAAAGCAATTTATTTGGAAAAGAGAGTTTAATATTTAGAAAGTCATTGGAAAACAGGCATGGATTATCCTACAAATCTCTCGCACGAGTGGTTACCTATGGTGTATAGTTGTATGGAATTCAGTGAAACAGCTCATAGGGATAAAGATTACTCATTAGCGTTACTTTGCAGGACCAGATTTTGCTCTGGGAGACACTTTTGTTGTAATGAACAATTTCATCTTTTGGTAAAGTGATGCAAATTTCAACAGACTTAACTGCTGTGGGTGCCGCCTTTGAAATATCACTGAGCCATAGGGAAAAGAATGTTTTTTTACCTTCGAAAGAAGAACTAAAACCTCTCAGCAGCTGTAAGTTTCTTCCCATCTGTAGAATTTGTCTGTGCAGCTGATTGAATCTTGACTGTTCTCACAGGGAAAAGGGAGAGAGATTTTGAAGTGGGAAATGTTCATGCTTTCCTGCCTACTGAATCCAATAGTGTCTCTACCTTAACAATTCCTTATTTTGCTCTACAAAACCAAATCTTGAATCAATTCTTTTTTTTTTTTTTTTTTTTTTTTTTTTTTTTCGTACTTCTAGTCCTAATTAATGGAAAAAAAAAACAGGAGGCTTTTTCATTTACACAAAATTTCACATTTATGTAGAAATTAATTGGAAAAATCAGTTTAATATTTAAGTAGTGTGTTTGGACACATAAATTTGTCTAAAATTATGCCAGCATTTATTTCATGTCTTTGCAAGTCCCATCTTTAAACACACACTAGTACTATCTAAATACTATTAATAAGCAAGTAGCTACATTGATAGTTCAGAGATTCTCTAATCATGGAGCATTAGCGGAGAGCAAATAAATCACAGGTTGATACCTCTACTTTTTGATATTTCTACTTGATAAGAAAGCAATGTCTCCTTATATTATTTCCTAAATATTCTGCAGAATTGTTACACAATTGTACTGTTACCAGTGGGTTTAGGAGAATGTTCACTTTGGCACAGCATTTATGGTTATTGTGAAGCAGTTGAGTGGTGAAACTAGAGATCATACTTCAGTGAACATACCAAAACTTATGTCAGGTTAGTGATATAAGTGACCTTTTCTTTTTTTTTTTTTTTTTTTTAGATGGCTAACTAAATAATATGATGTGTTTTACTGAAATCTTATCTTTCATGTTTTATTGCTGTTTTAATTTAAATGAAAACTTACCATGCACAGCATCTAATCTCTCCCTCTCCTTTAGTTTTAGATGATCATGCACCTCAATGTAATTGCACAACAACAACTCTCTGTTCAATATTTTCTCAAGGAATCTATTACCTGTATCCCTTTAATATAGAGTATCACATTCTAGCATCCACAATGCTCTATGTCCTGTGGAAGAATATTGGACGCAAAGTAGAACACCATCAACAACATAAAACCCCATTCAAATTCCATGGCATAACTGTTGGAATGATTTTTGGACTAATTGTGTTAATTAGCACAATAGCAAAAGTTGTTGTGTATTTAATTCAGATTGGACGCTCAAAAAACAAAAGTGAGTTAGCGCTTACCATGTTTTACTTGCATGCTATCTCTGTATTAGCTCTCATGTGTACAGCTGGGATTGTTGCCCTTCTAATTTACAGACTGGAAGATAGATCTTTGGATAATTCCAAAAATCCTGCTAGAAAACTTGACGCAGAACTGCTGGTTGGCACAGCTGCAGGATCCTGGCTCCTCTCCTGGGGTTCGATCCTAGCGATTATCTGTGCCCAAGCTCATCCAAAATATACCTGGTATAATCTGCCTTATTCCATCCTGGTGATTGTTGAGAAATACATTCAGAACCTCTTTATCATTGAATCCATACATCGCAAAGAGGAGAAGGTGAATGATGATATTAAAACTCTTCGAATCGTGACGATATCCAGGGGAAGCACTTTGTCACTCACCCCCTCGTACAAGGAGATCTACAATGGAAGAGCTGCCGGTGACGAAGGAGAGCTGCCCTACCTGCTTAATGGCAGTATCTGTGCAAGAGAAAATGATGGTGCCAAAGAAGAAGCAAGTCAGGCTAATTGTCCAGCCATGCATTCAGCCTCTGAATTGTCCTTTTATAGCAGAAATTCAGTTGCTAACCATAAGAGAAGGATTCTGAAGAATATTGCGGTATTTTTATTCTTATGCAATCTTTCGGTAAGATGTTTTGAATATAGTGCAAAAGTTAATAACCAGAAGCTTCTCAAACTTTCAGACCTGATAAATATATTAAAATTGCATATCTTATAGTTTACAGAAAGGAAATTTTACTTCTTTTGGAAGAAAAAGTGTATGTGCCTTTGCACAAAGCAAAGTTTATTTAAAAATGGAATAGATCCCGTTAGTCACAGTACCAAAATTACACCAGCAGTGGAAGCTGAAAATCCTCTTTCCTGAGCAATTCCCAGTAACAACGAGGAGGGTTTATTTAGAGATTTTTGAAGCTAAATTATAGTTCAGTGGGTCACAGTTATTGTGGGCTCGTCACTCATATTGCTGATGATTAATACTGGCCTTGCGTTCTTTCCTTGCAGCTTTGGATACCCCCGGCATTTGGTTGCCGCCCAGAATATGACAATGGACTAGAAGAAATAGTTTTTGGCTTTGAACCTTGGATAATTGTTGTGAACCTTGCAATGCCTTTTTCCATTTTCTATCGAATGCATTCAGCTGCCTCACTCTTTGAAGTCAATTGTAAAACATAGATCATATACGGTCCTTCTGTGAACAATTGATTGAATAATTAATTACACAAATAACAGATGAATGCGTGAATGAGTGAAAGACTGAACATAGCAACAGCTGCTCAATACATAGAAGGTTCAATAAATATTTTTTTAAAAGAAAGGACCGTAGCTAATAGCATGTAATATTTCTTTTCTCCCTCCACACATTTTATATATCTAGTATTATTGTCTAGATAGACTTTTCAATATCATACTGATGTTAACTCCAGTTAGTAAAGTTAATTTGAGTCTCTTTAATCTTTGCTTTAGTCATCTGGGATTTGTCCTCTATGTCATTTCTATTGCTTTCATTTCTTTCACTGTGACCTGTGAATGTAGTCTTAAAAGAATGTTGTTTAAGAGAGGAAATACCAGGGACTCCTCAACAGACTGATACTCCTAAATCCACATAGGCACTCTTATTCTTAACTACGTTTTTTATAATAAAACCTGTAGAGATTTTCTATTTCATTGGGATGTGGGAATTATTAAACTTTCTGATTAATGATAAAAAATCAACATAAAAAATCGAATTAACTATATACCATGAAATCCAAATAAATGACATGCAGATTTAAGTATTATACTATGTATAATTTCTTTTGGTAAAATATATTTCAATTAATACATCCCCCTTGTGTTGTATTTACTGTATGAGAGAACTGAGAAATAAAGTTAATTCTTTTAATGAACTCTTTATTCACAAATCCTTGAAACTTCTTATGAGAGAACACTGGTCTTCCAGCTTAGGTTATGCAGTTATGCAGCTTGGTGCATTCGTTCTGTTGCCAGGATGGTACGGACTCCCAGCGTGACTATTTATGAGATGCTAACTTCTTTGTACTCTAGTTCCCCCAGTTTGGAGCTAATCCTAAGTATTCCCATGGGGATGTTATAAAGCACAGGGCTACGAAGGGCTACGAAGATGATCAGGGCCTGGAACATCTGCCCTGTGAGCAAAGGCTGAGGGAGCTGGGCCTGTTCAGCCTGAAGAAAAGGCTGAGGGGGGACCTGATCAGTGTGTATAAATACCTCAAGGGAGGCAGTGAAGAGGAGGGGGGCGGCCTCTTTGCAGTGGTTGCCAGCAATAGGACTAGAGGAAATGGCCACAAGCTGAGGCACCAAAACTTCCACAGGAACTTAAGAAAACACTTCTTGACAGTGAGGGTGACAGAGCACTGGAACAGGCTGCCCAGAGAGGTTGTGGAGTCTCCTTCTCTGGAGATCTTTAAAACCCGCTTGGATGCAGCCCTGTGCCACGTGCTCTAGGTGACCCTGCGTGTGCAGGGCGGGTGGACTAGATGATCTCTGAGGTCCCTTCCAACCTTAACCATTCTATGATTCTATGATTCTATGATTCTATGATAGCTGATGCCGAGAGAGCCCTCGGCTGGAGATTTTACAAGCATGTTTCACAAACTGATGGAACAATTACCTAAATTCTCACACAACACAGAAAAGTTAAGTGCTTTAAAAGTTCCTATGATCTGGACCGAGAAGATCATTAGGCGGGAGCAATGGTCTGTACCAATGACCAGCAGGATGTTAAACCCAAGTAAGAGATTGACCATAGACATCTGTAAGATGGCCTTCCTATCCTATTATTAATGCTAACTCATTAATAAAGTAATCCCAAATCTGATGCTGGTTGATGGACTTCAACATTTCCATCCCTAGCTCTTAGAAGTCCCACTACACTTACTGCCTGTTGTCCCTGCCGTGTGTGCAGAAGCAGTCATGTTTCTCCATGAGACAGAGCCCCTTCTGAGATAGGAATATTGAGGAAGAATTGCAGCTGGTTTGCCAGCTTTCAGCTCAAACCAAAATTTCTGGCTTTCTACCACTAGATGGCAAACACAGACCATTCAGTAAACTGATTGCTTCTAGGTGGTGCTTCACATCACCTTTAATGAACTTTTTTGTGGGGCGTATAGTTATAAGCTGCTGAGGAACTTTTTGCTATCTGCTTTATCTGTAGCAAAACCCAAACCACATAAAGCAGCTTTCATCTGTGATCTCAGCTGAAGTTGAATTAGAATAGCGAGACCTCTAATGTTCCTGCAAAAGGATTTTCATTGTTAGATTTGAGTGTTTCAAGAGTCACCCCTTGGTCATACTGCTGTAATCTCTGCCTTTCTCTACTCTTGTCATGCTTTTATCAGCTGTCTATTTGTTTCTACATTCATGCCACAGAGCACCCTTTTTAATCTTCCAGTTTAAACATATTAGTTTTTTCTCATCTGTACAAAAATTCCAGCTCTAAATACTTCACTTAGTTCTCTTGACACCGGTTTTATTCAAAGTAAAAAGGGCATCATCAGATGTCAAGGGCATCAAACAGAGTTTTACCTTTTCTTCTGAGTCAACCTTCGATCATACTGAAACTTTGGATAACTGGTTCTAAGATGTAAAAGGAGGAAGAGTCATGTTCTTTCTAAAAGAACTGAATTTCCTTAAACAGGAACTTTAAATTCCTTTTCTTTTGTCACTTAAAATGGATCCAGAGGTGCTCAGCACTCTTCATTTACAACTAAATAAAATGTGGCTCAGTTCTAAGTAATCATGAATTACTTGAATTTCTTCCTACTTTTTTTGTCTTGACATACCTGAAAACACCATCCTGACTGTGGATTTGTTTGATTTTTTAAAAAATTATTATATGATCATTTTACAAGCTCTCCTGTGTCATTCAGTCAGCTTGGAGTCCCTATAGGACTTACTTACTTACTTACAGGTTTTGTGAATGGAATCATTGTAGAGAGATAGAAATCCCTAAAAACTGCAGGGGGAGAGGTTATCCGAGTAATTTAAGCACATGCTTCTTTCTGCTGAATAGAAAATTGAAGCTCTCTGTGGCAACCAGTTCGTTGAGAAGAGGTGAATATCTCTTCCACTGAGACATATATCCTTCATAAATCCTTCAGGAAATAGTGTGTTGACTCCTTCCTCAGCAAGGCCTCCTGCAGCACCATTTGAACCTTTCACAGGGCAGTAATTTCTGCACCGCTCCCATGGAGGACACAAAAATTTCAGAATCAAGGTCATCTCCATCCCTCTCCTGGTGCAGAGAGGCCTGTGTAACAAGGGATGTGATGCTGGTGGGGCGAGACAGGGGCTCCAGACCCAGTTTGTTCAAATATGTAAGTGTAACTGGACCAATAAATAAATAAAACCTCAACTGCCTCAGAAGCAGGAACCTTCACTGTAGACGGAAGGAAGCAGGCGCTCAGTCCCTCTGAGGTTCTCTGAATCTCTCTGAATCTCTCAATCTCTTTCAGTCTCACTCCCATCTCTCTCTCAATCTCTCTCTTTCCCCTCATTTCCTGGCTGAATGCTCTTAACATGAAGGTGTCATACAAATGTAGTCGGTGAAGGTACCATAATGCTGGAGTCCCATTCACTTTAGTTTGGGGTCTCTCCTGAGAACTGGGAGTCCTGACACAGAAGAGAGAGCTTTAGAGGCTTGTCTTGCGCATAAACATGCAGAGTTGATTGAAGTTGCATCTCATAAGCTTTTTGGATAGGCAAGAAGAGGTATAGAGCGGTATAGGTGGTAACAGGATCTGACAGTCCGGAAAGTGAGCAGATGAGAATGCATTAAATTGAATGAATGAATGAATATGGGCGGGATTTTGCCAGGATTTTGGCAGGATAAGTAAATAACAAATTCCTCATTCCCACAACATATCTATATTTTTCACTGAAGTTAATGGGATTCCCTACTCTCTCGCAAAATATCCTTTTCCAGTATATCCCTAGATTGTCTTCATAATATTCATGTAGCAGAGAGACAGTACTTTAGAAATTTATATAATAAATACATTTATATAAATTTAGAAATTTATAGAATTTATATGTGGGTGAAATTATTCCAATTTAGATATAGTAAACATTATAAACACCAATCAAACTCTTTCTCATATGCGCTCACCCACTGTTTCTACATGTAGCTGTAAATATGATTGAAAGCAAACAGAAATGTGGTGACCCAAGGTTATATCCTCCCTTCAGACCAAACATAACTCCTGTTAATGGGAAATATGTAGCATACAGAGAAAAAAGCTGTGTCCCACAGCACCAGGCTAGTACAGTGGTGTTAAAATAAGTGCTAGTAACCACTGAAGCCCCGTGAAATATTACAAAGTGTTTCAGGAGTGACTGAGTAAACAGCTAAAAAGTCCTCAATGAAGGATATGTCAAATCATATAGCTGCAGCAGGGTTGCAAGTTAACATAGAAGCACTTTTTTTGCAACTAAACTTTGTTAAACTTAATATCGTTAAATGAAAGGGTTTTTTTATGTGTGGTTCTTACAAAAGTTAGCAGTATTCTGTATCAAATTCTACTTTTTTCTTTTAATTCCTTTCTCTGATATTCCAAGTTGGAAGAACTCAAAGTTATCATTCAGAAATACGTAGAGATATTTGTGTGGTAGGGTTTCCAGGATTTCAGGGCTCTCATAGATTTGTTAAAAATGTGTTTTTTTTCAGGAGGAAGCTTTAAAAGACAGGGTGAAACACCACTAACAGACTTCAAACTCCATTGAAGGTCTTGTAGTATTTAAACTCCTAAAAGTAAAATGTAAAGAATATTTTTGTCTGTAATTTTACAAAGTCCCTTGTTCAGATCAGCAATCTGATATTTGCCTAAGTGTCTTCTGAAGAAAGTAACTTCTCTGTATCATGGGCTTCAGTTGCTCATTCCTCTTAAACTCAGAGTATAAAAAGTCTACAATGTGCTGCACAGCATCATTTTCATGCTTTTGGGTGGCACCTTCCTATTTGTTATTATTTTGGAAAACGCTTTCAGAGAGCTTCAGGGAGTTTTGAAAACTGCTCTTCAGTTATGCATATAATTGCAATGTCTACTGATGGTGTGGACATGAGGAAAATAATTATCAGCCACTTATGCGCGAAATGAGCCAGACTGAGCCTGTGATTTTTGGCTGAGTGTCTAGGCAGCGGGCGGCGAGGTTGGCTC